CAAGGCGATGCTATTTATAAGCTACCTGGGTAAACAGTCCGTGCGACTGCACAGTAATTGCACAGAGTTCCTCCAGATGATAGAGCGGTAATTAACTCGGTAATTGCGTGTGCCAGAATAACCCTGGAACTTCCCCTCTCCTTTGGATGCCTGGCACGGCTCTCGCGCGCTTTTCTCGCCTCCTGTTTGAGGGAGCTGGAAGAAAGGCTTCCACTGACTTCAGCACATCTTGGAGCGGGCTCAGAGCATCTCCCATCTGTGGAGACTGCAGCTGCTTGAACAGAAAGGGTAACTCCTCAGCTTCCCCCAGTAACCAGCGCTAAGGCAAGAAATTCTACAGCAGGGACGCAAGAGAGAAGTGTCCCAGGGAAAATAAACAAAAAGCAAACAAACAAAACAAAGCAAAACAAAAAAAAAAAACCACGTCTCAGGCTCAGCCAAACCTCGGGAAACACAAAGCTGGATTTGTTTGAGCAACTCCCTTTGGATGGGAGAAAAGAAATGCAGATGCTTCAGAACTGATGCCAGCAAGCTCCTGATTTGGGGGAGGAAACACGGAGTGTCACAAGTTAGGTTTACTTCTGTGAATCCATACAGTGTGAGCAAAATACCACGGCGTGGTGGCTCCTCTGGTGATATAAATTCACGCAGTCCCGTTAACCTTCCTGGATCTCCGCCAGTTTTCTCCTGCTCAGCTCCTGGAGCTGGGCCTGCCTCCAGGTGGAGCGAGCAGAAGACCTGGTGGCTGGACGGGACGAGCCGATGCGTGCCTCTCGCCGTCACACAACGATCCGCTTTCAGACACTGCTCCTGATGGAAATTATGTCGACAGAGACAACAAAACGCCCTCACCAAGCACACAGTGTTCTGCAGCGGCATCTTTTGGTGCTCCCCGTGCCTGGAAGAGGAGCGCCTGTCCCCACCGAGGGGAGCGGCCGCAGCCCCCAGGGCAGGGAGAAAACGCGGCTCCTGCTGCTGCTCTTGGACCCTGCCACGTCCATGCTGATGCTGGGGTCGGGGGAAAGCCCCAGACCAGTTGGTTTGCTGTTGGTTTAACAGCAGGGGACGAGCGGTGCTGCCAAAGCTCACATCTGCCCTCCCATGGATGAGATATTCAGGGATGCTCCAGCCACCAGGACTCGGGGTTGGCTGCGCGAGGTACGCACACACGGGTGTGTGGATGGCCCCAGTGCGGGGTTTGTGCGTGGTGGAGGCTCTCGCCTGGGCTCAGGTAGGTTTGGGGCACGCAGGCGGATGCCCGAGCCACTGGGCAGGGTGGTGTTGTATTGCTCTGGGATGTTGGCAGTGCCCACAGCAGGCAGAGCTGGGGACACGGCACTGCAGGGATGGGGGCGTCTGCGCCCGGAGACACCGGTCTGCACCAGCACGGTCCCCCTGAGCTCCTCCTGGACTCCAGCTTCCTTTTCTCATTAAAATACTGGGGAAAAAGGGACTGCTACAAGCACAATGATGCCTCTCCCAGCTCTGCTGTTTCCCAGTACCAGGAGAAAGCAGGGCTGAGGCCAGGTGCTCTGGGGACCTGACTCCACGGCACGCGTGACAGCATGGACGTGAGGGAAAACCCCTTTGCCAAATTGCTGTCACCAGTGCCACTAACCCTAAGTGAAAAAACACCTGCCCCACCTGTCCCAGAGCCTCAGTGCCCCTTCTTGCCATGAGCTGCTGAGCCCCAGGGCTGTGTTTCAACAGTAAGAGCCCATCCTGCACGTGCAGCAACCTTCCAAAGGGGAACCACCGACCTCTGCGCACACGGCTCCCGGCTCCACGTGGCTCCCAGCAGCCACACGGGCTCCCCATGGCCGCACACAGAGCCCGCCTGGCGTCTGCTCCCACTCCTTGGCCGTGGGGAAGGGCAGGACAGAAGGCTTCAGGACCTGGAAAGAAAACATCGGGATGTGCCCACGGAGCTCCAAGGGGAACCTCACCTGCGAGGGGTGCCGGCCCCGTGCAGTGTGCGCTGCCTCTCCTCTGAAAGTGCTCGTGGCAGCTGCAAGGCAGCTCTCTCCATGCTCTTCTCCAGGTGCTCGTCTCTCGGAGGAGGCTGCAGGACAGGAGCAGGGTGTGTAACTGCACATCTGTGGGTGCTCGGGCTCTGCAGCCACCAGGTTTCCAGCACCTGGAGGTGACAGATCGCTGCCTTCAACTTGCCTGTTCCTCTCACACACAAACCTCTGCTGGGTCGAGATCATCCCATTAACCACTCCTGGGAAAGGCAGGCCCAGCCTCTGAAACTAGGGATAATTTGGGGGACGTGGGTTAAGGACAGAGGCCCTGCTCCTCAGGCCGCGAGAAGGAAGAGAGCAATACACGGTCAGCAGCAGTCATCTTTACTATGGACCACAGGATCAGAAAAATAACCTTGTGAACAAGAGACCTAGTTGCTAACAAAGTGTCATGCTGTAGGACGTACAAGAGAGGCCACTCACAATCACCAGAACAAAACAGCAACCGAGGAGGAAAGGGAATCCCGAGGCGGTGCTGGGTGTGCTGCAGCAGATGCCCTATAGCAAACCTCTAGTGGTGGTGTCAGCACAGCTGCGTGCACGTGCATGTGAGTGGGGGGCTGTTGGCGTGGCTTCCTTTTGCCTCTAAAACAAGAAAAAGGGTCTTCACCTCCTATACAACTCCAGTGTCTCTAGCACAATTATTTTTTTCCAGAAAACAAAACAAAACAAAACACATTCTGTTCTGAGAACTATGTGCAAGAACTGTTTCTCCAGGTACAGTGAAACGAGGACGGATGGGGGACACCCTTCTCAGTGCTGTCCTTGTGCATCGTGCCCTCTCCTCATCCACACCGCGACTCTCGCCAGCAATCCTCCGTGGCTCTTCCTTCACTAAATCCCAGACAAGGATATTCAGAAAAAGAAAGAAAAAAAAAAAAAAAAAGAGTATTGCTGCTCCTTCGTGTAATATTTTTTCCTCTCTCTCTCCCCCCCCCCCTTTCCCCTTAAAAATGTTTGCTTTCACAAATTCCATTCCTGCAAGGATTCCTCCCAAGCTCTGAGGTCTCCGCGCTCCACCCTCATCTTCTGCAGGCAGAAAAACCGAGTCTCGACGGCTCTTTGGTTAAAAAAAAAAAAAAAAAATGAAAAAAAAAAACAAAACCCAACACAAACAAGTAACACACAGCCCGGTATGATCCCATTCCACCCCGCGGACGCCTGATGAGAGGGTGTCTGTGGAAGAAGGAAGCATCAGAGACGCGCTGTCTGCTGCGGGGCCGAGGCTCCTCTCATACGGTGGTGGCGGGCCCGAACTGCAGCACCAGGGGCGACGTCTCCTTGATGCGGACGAAGAAGCGCCCCTCGGGCCGGGCGGCGTGCAGGGCCAGGGGCAGGGAGTCATCGGGCAGCCACCGCTCGCTCTCCTCGGAGGCGAACACCAGTCCGAAGTGCTCCAGCTGCTCCTCGCCGTAGCAGAAGGCGGCCGAGGCGCCCAGCACGCCGCGGGAGACGTCGTTCATCTCCAGCACCACCAGCTTCACCACCTCCCCGGCCGACGTCTGGCTGGTGATGTGCAGCTGCGGAGAGACAAAGGTGGGAGAGGCGGGCGGTCAGGGGGGGGACGAGGAGGGCCAGGGGCAGCGGCTGCCCCTCCGCAAGCTGTCGGGGGGCAGGAACGGCCCCAGCGAGGTGCCCGGGGACACGTGGCCCTGCTCCTGCCAGCTCAGAGGTGTCAGAGCCCCTCCTGCGAGCAGCACCCAGCCCCCAGAACCACAGCACCGCAGCCGCCCTGGTGCTGAGCTCCTCGGGAAGCGGGGCTCAAGTTAATCCCCTCGGAGAGCACCCGGGGGGCTCTGCCCACCAGCTCTCCTCGCCCTCCCTCACCGCTTCGCTGGGGATTGCCCTCTGAATCCCGAGGCAGGACGAGAGCACTGCCGGGCCGTCAGGAGCCCGATCCTTCCCTTCAAAGGCCCTCGGCCGGGCAAGGCGATGGTTTCCTTTGGCACATCCGTGAGGGCCTGCGGAGCGCCGCGGGCAGTGCCCCGGCAGGGTGGTCCAAGCCCTCGGCCCACGTGAAGCCTGCCAGCTCCGAACAATCATCATGGGGCTCAGCTGATTTACGCCAGCCGAGGAGCCTTCCCTTTGAACTCGGTTCTTCGAGGAGAACATCGTAAAACGCTTTCAAGCAGGCATGTCCCGAGCTTTGCAACTTCAAAAGCCACGTGGGCAGCCCGCCAGGAACCCAGGGCTGCACTTCAGTTGCATAGAAATCTATGGTAATTTCTCAAATGGAAAATAAATACTGCGAGTCAGATTTCCCTCTGCTTCTAACATCCCTGCTGGGTGAAGAGAAACTGGCTATCAAAACTGCCTGGCAATAAACCTCCAGCCCTGCAGCCTGCTCCTTCCTGCACCCTTTTGCAGACGAGCTGCACCCGGGCTGCTCCGCGAGCCCTACTCGGCACGGTGGCACCGGGAATTTCACCAGGGAAGCTTCAAGAGGGGAAGGACTTGGGGGCTGGAAGCAGAGGAGGTGGCAGAGCACAGAGGGGACCTGCCTGGGCTGTGTGCCCGCGGGCTCCAATGGGTGCAGGCAGCCTGGAGCTTCGGGAGCCAGCTCAGCTCCAAAGCCCTGCCACAGGCAGGGAGGGAGCAGAGAGGACCCACGGGGGGCTCGCGGGCCCCAGTGCCCCCGGCGAAGAGGCAGCTGAGGCTGGTGACCCCGGGTGGCACTAACCCACTGCCAGTCGGGCCGAGTGCCAAACCCCAACCCTGCCTTCTGTCCTCAAAACACCCTGCTGGCTAAGCTGGTGGCCCCATCCCAGCCCCTGAGCAGCAGAGGTGGGCACGTGGGGTCCCCCGTGGTGTGCCGAGGGCACAGGGACACGGGGCAGCAGTGCCGGGGGTGTCCTGGGGACCTGCCCCTCAGCATGGCACAGGATGGAGACGGCAGAGCCAGGAGAGGGCCACGCAAGCCTGCAGTGCCTCCCCCGTCCTGGCAGCCGCACCGCTGCCTTTAGTAGGCTCCGGTACCTTGACACTGGTCTCTTTGGAGAGTCCGGTTTCGTACTGAGGGCAGACCCGCAAGGTGACAGAGCCCGGCTTCTTCCCGCGGTCGGCCAAGCACCCGGGCTGCTCCAGTGGCTCCTGGCAGCTCGGAGTCCACTCAGCCGAGCGCGTCCGGCCGCGCTCGGGGCTGGGTGCGGAGCCAGTCCCCAGCCTGAGCTGGCCGCCGTGGCCCCCGGGGGTCCTGCTCTCCGTCGGGGAGCTGTCGACGGAGCCGGGGCAGGACTTTCTGGCCACCTGGGCAGAGGGGCTTGGGGAAGTCCAGGCTGCTGGTGCGCACGCAGTACGCCTGCCGCTTCTCCGTGATGCGCAGCAGCTCGATCTGCCGGCTGGGCAGGACGAAGTCGCTGTCGTAGAGCTCGGGGGGCGGCCGGGGCTCCGGCGGGGGCAGCGGCACCGGTTGGAGCTCGTGGCTCTGCAGGACGTCCGGGGCGCTGTCCCGCAGGCTGCGGGGTGCCCTCCTGCCGCAGCACTCGGGCCCCGAGGAGGAGGACACCAGGTCGAGCTCCTTTGGGCTCTGCGCCCTGCTGGAGTCGTAGTCGCTGTCGGTGGCCAGGAACACCTCGGAGGAGCCCTCCTCGTCCGACAGCCCGTGCAGGTCTGCAAGGGAAGCAAAGAGCTCGTCGGCTTGGCGTGAGGGGGAGCGGGAGCTGTGCAAAGCCGGGCCCTTACCGGAGTTGAGCTTACGGCTGGTCTCTGGGGAGGGCGCCGGGGAGGGAAGGAAGTCGAGGTGGGACGAGGACGGATTGGGTCTTCTCCTTCATGGCACTGCTGGAGGTGCTGAGGAACCCACTGAGGGACACCCCACAGGACGGCTGCTTGTACCGGGCATGCTGCAGGGCGTCCATAATCCAGCGCATCTCGCGCCATATCTCCTCCATTTGCTGCCAGAAGAGGAAATAAAGGATCCCTTTCAGAAAGCGAACAACCACCATAAAAAAATCCCCCAGCGAAACCCGGCCTCTCCCCACACACCTTTCCCAAGAGGCAAAAGCTCGGGGGAACCCCCCCAGAGCGCGGAACCCCCCGGCAGTGCTTTGCAAACCTTTAACAAAAGGATCACAGCGAGATGCTGCCAGACAAAGCCCTGGCACTGCGGGGCCACAGTGGGGAGAAGGGGACAGCCCTACTGGGGCATTTCGGTCCCGTGGGCACACCGTGGCCAGCCTGGCTGGCTCCCAGCGCCAGCGCTGCGCACCTGGATGTAATCCTGCACCTGCTGGTGCCTCTGCTTGGCCGTGGAGAGCTCGGCGTCAGAGAAGGCTTCCCTGAGGCTCTGCTGCGAGAGGAGCGACTCCAGCTCCAGGAGGGCAGACACCTGGCAGTACTGCGTGATGAACTCCCGGTCGTATGTGAAGAAGTGCACTGAGGGATGGAAAGGAGGAGAAGAATGAAAAATATCAGCTCCCTAGGGGTTCCTCCGTGCCCACCCAACCCGGGGAGCCCACCTGGAGCACTGGGGAGCCCTCAGCACTCCCTCTCCCCCCTCTCCTAGGGAGGTGACAGAGCACAGCCACCCCAGCAGCGCCTTCCAGCCATTCCCAAAATCAAGGAGACCAGCACGAGGAGGCCCTGGCAGTGCAAACCACCCCTTTTCTCACCCAGCTCGAAGATCTGCAGCGGCAGCGTGAGGAAGCCAGACTGAGGGGTGTAGGGGTTGTTCTGGCCCGGCGCCGTGCAGACGTCATCTGAGGGAGGCAGCAGCAGCAGGAAGGAGACCTGGCCCCCAAAATCCAGCACCTCTTGGCTGTACAGGCGGAAATCTTTGGCCTGCAAAGAGCCCGTCCAAAAGACATGACAGGTAACGGCTGCAAACGTCATCGCCCTCGTCCCTGCACCTCGGCTCCCACCCACACCTCTTGCAACGGGATGTTGACCAGGGTCATCAGCTCCTTGATGGCCGCCTGGAGCTCCTGGAACAAGTGGTTTTGGGATGTCTCAGCCTCTGGCTCCGCAGGAACGGGCTCCTCCATGCTGGCCATCTTCTGCAGCCATTCCCACTCCTCCCTGGAGAACGGCAGACAGAAAATGTGCTGGAGGGAGCAGCTCGGGGCTGACGTAAACACGCTGTCCCGACGAGAGCAGTGTTTGCTTAGCTCTTCCACCAAGGGGACGTGGGAGTTGTGGTGGCAGCAGGGGGACCTCGGCTTTCTCCAGCCCTAGGCAGGGCTTGGCAGGGACAGGGCTGGGCGGTGGAGCTGCACTGCTTCCTCGAGTCCACGCACAAGAGGCAGTGGCCACGAGTGCTCTTGTGCTGGACAAGGCAGAGAAAAAGACCAGATGCCCCCCAGAGCCCCACCTGGAGATGTTGGGGTTGGAGCGGATCTTCACATGGCACAAGATGTTGGGGAGCTGCTCGGGCACCAGCACCCGGATCTGGTCCACGGCGCTGCAGAGCTTCAGGTAGCCCAGGTAGAGGCCCGGGGAAAGGGCATGGCTGCTCCGCTGGTGGTAAGCCAGCTTGTCCTGAGGACACGGGCACCGCTGGAGTGAGCCAGCCCTCACAGCAAGGAGCTCTCCAGCCCTTGTGCCGGGTGCTGGAGGCATGAGGGACAGCCCCAGCGTGCCGGCTGGAAGCAGCCCCCGTGTCCCCAGCCCCCTCGCTCAGCACCTGCACGGAGATGAGCAGCGTGTCCAGGGCCGTGGGCTCCTCCGGGGACGACACGGACTTGCGGCTGGTCTGCAGCTTGCAGATGGGAACCCAGCGGACGCTCTCGAAGGTCTGGTTGGTCTTCACCTCCTTCAGGGTGACGATGAGGATGTTGCCCTGCTTGTCTTTGATGGGCTCGAAGAAGACCTGCCCCAGGTCCTGGATGCCCAGAAGCCCCTGCACACGGGGATGGGGGACAGGAGAAAGGTCAGGGGACACCACGCTGCCTGCTGGAAACCTGGCAGAGCACCCACGGACAGTCCCCAGCCCCTCCACGTGCTGCTGAACCTGGCACCTGGGGACCCACGGGTGATGGCAAAGCTGTGGCCCAGCTGCAGCCCGGTGGCACCGAGCAGGCAGAGCTGTTTTTTTTCCAGCACTCCCAGAGGAGCACCCCCAAAAATCACTCTGGGAGGCATCAGGAGGACAGGGAACCCCCCCCTCCCCTCACCTGCATCTGCGAGATGGCCAGCAGCATCTTGAAGCGCGTCTGCAGGATGCAGGAGCAGGACGACTGGGAGACGGTGACGCACTGCCGCAGCCACAGGATCTCGTCCCACATGCACGACACCTGCAGCACAGCCAGGAGCTGTCACCGCCGGCCGAGCCCCCCCAGCTGCCTGCTCACACGGGGGGGCCCTGGGGACAGCCGGTCGGTCCCTCTCCATCCGAGCTGGGCGAGGAAGGTGCGCGCAGACACCGCTTCCAGCAGCACGGGGGACGTTTTTTACGCACTCCCCTGCCCGAGATGCCTCCCTTTCTAGGAGGGGCACCTTCCTGAGTTGGAGCAGAGCTGTTTTCAGCCCCCACACACAGGTAAGGGTTGCAGTGGAGGTGCCCCCCACACGGTGACACCCCTGGAGGACACCGCGCTCACGGCGGTGGCTGCCCAAATCTCGCAGCGTCAGGACGCGCAGCACAGGGCGCGGGGGCTGCCTACCTTGGTGAACCAAAGGAAATCCTGCATGAGCAGGCACGAGTAGGTGTCGTCGATCTCCACCACCGGGATCTGGTCCTCGTGGGTCACCAGGATGTTGTCGTCCTTGTAGAAGATGGCTGTCAGGTAGAGGCCCCTGTGCGGAAGGGAAGACAGGCTGCGGGGTCACCCCTGGCCACCAGCTTCAGTTCCCAAAGAGTTTGTCTCCAAAAGGCAGGGGAAGTGCCCCGTACGGGGCTGGTCCGAACATAAATGTTTGATTTCTGAGCGATGGGACTGATCCCCACTGACAGCACGGGCTCATCCCAAGGAGGGACCCACCCCAAGCACCTGCAGCCCTGGCTGGCCAGCCCTACATCCCTGTGGGGCCAAAGTCTCTGCGATGCCACCCCCCTCACGAGGCTCTCACCGCTTCAGTGTCTTGAGGAACTTGCTGCCAGCGTGGAAGAGGTGCTTGAGGCTCTTGGAGACCGAGTGCTTCCTGCTCTGGGGCTGGTTCTTGCAGGGCTCTGCGAAGTGGAGAGCAGAGGGTGCTGCGGCGTGACCCCAAAAGCAGCACCCACAGCCTGGGGGGAGGCGTTGTGGGCACCCCAGCTCCTTGTGCCTCAGCAGGTGACCCCCGGAGCCCTGGGGAGCAGAAGAGCCCCCCGGGACCACCGGGTGCTGCAGACTCACCGTGGCACACGCAGTGCTGGTGGACGGTCTTCACCTGGCCCAGCAGGTGGTCCAGAGCTTCAGCCTGGCCCCTGCGCCGCGGGGCCCGGCCGTCGTACTCCCTCCAGTCTGCGGGGACAGAGCCAGCGTCACCCCCTGACACCCCTCTCCATGGAGCTGCTCCCCACCCCACGGCACCTCCTGGCACCCCAGCACCATCGCCACGTGCTGGGAGCAGCTCCGGAGCCACCAAGTTATTTCAGCCCTAGGAACTGGGAAGGAATCTGGGAAGCTACAACACGGCCCCGCTGTCCTCCGTTAACCCACAGGGCTGGGTGTGGGGGGCACTTTTGGGGCCGTGCCCAGGAGCTGGCAGGGAGAACGGGGCCAGGAGCTCCCCGAGGCCACCGGCCACCCCGCAGTGAGGGTACAACGGAGGTCAGGAGCAAGGTCCCGCCTGCTCCCACTGCCCTTAACCTGGCTTAAAAAATAAAATTCTTTCCAGTGTCTTCCCTGGAGCTGCAGCCTCGTCCAGGTGAATGCAGGAGCGGAGCTCACCCAGGCAGACACCCAGGCAGGCTCTCCTGCCAGCCTCACCCTCTATACGGCGGTGGCAGGAGCGGCACGGGGCCGCCGGTGCTTTTACATTAGCTTTAGGTTAATTGCTTTGAACACCCCCTGTCCTGCCTGCTGCTCTTTTCCATGGAAAGTTCAGCTCTGTTAACTTTGGCTGGGGCTCGCCACTATTTTTAGGAGCTTTAAAAACACCCGGGGAGGTGCCTGGCTGTTCTGCTGGGCCAGGAAGGGATCTCTACCGAAGGGAGAAATATTCACGGGGACAGAAATAAGAAAAATCCGTCCTGCTTGATCCCCGTGGATCTCGTGCACACAAACAGGACCTGTGTGGGACAGCAGAGGGGTTTTAAGGGTGCAAACGTGAACAAATGCCTGGTGCCAGGGCAGAGCAAAGCCAGCCTCACGCAACGCCGGTTTCTTTACCTGGGCAGGACAGGCCCCTCCAAAAAGCTGCCCCACGCTAAATTACAAAGCTCTGCTAAAAAACGCAGGGATGGTTTTCCTCCCCCCAGAGGTGGTTTCTTAGCTCAGAAGTAAAACATCCTCTGTCCGAGCTACCCTAGGATCAGCTGGTCCAGGTGGCCTAAAACCTCTCCAGCCTTCACCAGGCAGCCAGGCTAATTTCGGGCTGGAAAATAAATATCTGGCAGAGCTCCCAGGGACCAGAGACAGCATCCCCCAAAGGGCTCTGTGTATGAGCCCTGCACCCCTTCCACCGGGCACAGCCACCTTGTGGGGCCCAAGACCCTACCTGCAAACCCTAAATACTGCACCCAGCTCTGCTCCTGCCCCTGCCCCATCCCAAAAGCTCCCGAGCCCACCCCACCCCAGTCCCACAGCCGGGTGCCACCTCTCAGCTGTACTTACTGGAAGGGATGGCGAAGGGGGGCACTGAGGCTTGGGGGGACCCCAGCCCTTCATGTTGTAGGCAGACACCTGGACGTAGTAAGCTGTGCCCTGCGAGGGGGAGAAGGCACACTCAGGATGCGGGTCCCTCTCCCGGCTCAGCGTGCAGGGCGAGGAGGTGGGAAGGAATCCCAGCACGCCATGAGGAGCACAAAACGGGACCCCATAGCCCGGGCTATGAGCTCTGACCCCCCTCAGCCACCCTCCAGCAGCACCACTGCCTTGCCCAAGTGCCCCACAGCACACAGAAGGGTCCTCCGAGCTCCTCAAGCCTGCAAGTCCCCCCCTCCCTGCCCAAAAGCGTGGGCGCAGCAACCCTTTGCCTGCACCCCCAGCCCCTCCTGGTCCCCCTACCCAAGCCCCCTTCCTGCTGCTGTCCCCTTGCCCACTGCCATCCCACCCATCCGCCCCATGTGCAGGCTCTGGAGCTGCCCCTGCAGCCCGGACCCCCCCAGCTCACCGACACCAGCCCCCGGATGGTGTAGTGCAGGCTCTTCAGCTTGTCCACCACGGCCTCCCCCAGCAGTGGTGAGAAGGTGGGGGAGCAGCTCCACTCCACTGCAATGAGAGAGGCCCTGATGTGACACATCTCCGGGGTCGGATCAAGCCACGAGGCGAAGAGGGACAGGGAGGAGGAGCAGAACAAGCTGGGGGACCCAGCCAGGCTACGCAAGCAATGGGCCAGGACTTCGAGGTGCCTGATGGGGGGGGAATTCTCCCAGAAATATAAATTTCTGGTTTAAATGGGTGAAGGCACCATCTGGCTGGTGGCCCTGCCATGCCGTAGGGTGACAGCGCCGTGCCACAGCTCAAGAGCTCGGCACCCTTGCAGCCCCCAGGGTGCTGGCAGGGTGTGCACAGGGCAAGTGCCCCACTGCATCCTGCTGGCACGCCCCGGGTGCTCAGCAATTGCACAGGGACCCCGGTCCTTACCCTTGTATTTGGTGACAACGGCTGAGTTGACACTCAGGGGCTCCCAGAAGGTCACCTGCACCGAGGAGCTGCTGGCCACCGAGAGGTGCACGTTGCTGGGGGGGTCCGGCACTCCTAGGGACAGAGAGCACAGGGCACTGCTACAGCACTGACGGTCACTCCAAACCCCGCAGCATCTCTCCTGTGCCTCCCCTGCACCCAGGGGTGCACCCTCAGGGTGCCTGCCCCCTCACCCACCCGTACCACAGGCTGCAGGGTGCAGGGTCCCCGGCAGGCGCCCCGCGGTTCCTCCCCATCCCACACCCAGCCCCGCTCCAACCCCAGCCCTGCTTGGGGCACTCACGGGCGTGCTCAAAGCCTGCCTTCATGCGCTTGTACAGCCGGTATCGCCACTCCCAGGCCTTGAGCTGCTTCTCCTTCTCGGAGCAGTCGGCGTTGGGTGCCTCGTTCACCACCTGCGCCGTCAGCTCGTTGACGCGCTGCTCCGCTTCCCGCAGCAGCGTGGAGAGGTGCAGCGAGCGGCTCTCCAGGCTGACAACTGCTGGGCAGGAACAGCCAGGGGCAGGGGGGAGCGAGACGGAGGGATGAGAAGGTGATGAGGAGGTGGTTAGAAGGTGGTTGGGGGAACCGTTTTTGGAGCCAGGCTCTGCTGGCACCAAATCCCAGCCCGGAGTCCCCGTCCTTGCTGCAGTGCCCTGCTCGCAGGGACAGTGCAGCTCCCCAGTGTGTGGCTGGGCAAGCAGGGAGCAGGGTCCGAGCACCTCTTCCCACCCCAGCATCACAACCTCCCTAGTTTCCTGCTCTGAAATGTGGAGCCAGCACCATTCCCAGCTGCCCCATGGCACACGCAGTACACAATAGGGTCTGCTCCCCGAACTGGAGATGTGGGTGCTGCACAACCCGCTCCAGCCCACCACACACACAGATTCCCAGGAGGCAGAGGAAACCCGAAAGCTGACGAAAGCATCACCAACACCTTGCTGCTTCTGCCTGCCCTCCAGCCAACTCACAGTGCGGGCTCTCCTTCGCTCCTGCCTGCAGCAGGGCCCTGGCGATGGGAGCGTTGTTGGTCATGATGGCGATGTCCAGGGGCAGCAGCCCCTCGCTGTTGGGGGTGTTGAGGTCCAGCTCCTCGGGGCTGTACTGCTTCAGCAGCTCCTGCACCCGGTCCAGGTCCTGCAGCTCCACGGCCTCGAAGAGAGCAGCATTGCTCTGGAACTGGATGGAGAGAGAAGCGCTGGTGAGCTGGGCATGGAGTGCTCCTTCACCCCGCCCAGCACCCCAACAACCCAAACCGGGCTTGTGGCTGCCCCCAGAACCACGGAGACCCAGAACCAGGGGCTGAGGAACATCAGCTCTTGCAGCCACAGATGGGTGATGCTGAGCAAACACCCTGCCCCCAGGCAGCTTTACCTAACGCCCACCCCACCCGTCCCCCTCATCCCCGGCCCCGGTGTGGCTGGGGGGACTGGCGGGCACCGACCAGGTAGGACTTGCGGAGCTTCTCCTTCTCGCCCCGTCCCGCCAGGCTGCCCTCATCAAAGGACGTGTAGTTGACTCGGAACTTCCCCGAGAGGTTTCGGTAGAGCCTTTTGGCCGCGTTCGGCGAGGAAGGGCCCGGCGGCTTCCTGGCCTGCGCCAGCTGCAGGTCCCGCATCTGCTGCGTCATTTTGGGAGAGGACGACCTAGGGCAGGGGAGAGGCAGTGAGTGATGGGCCGGTAAAATGTGCTGGGAAGGCAGAGGCAGGCACACAGCAGCTTCAGGAATGGGACGTGAGCCAGGAGAGCTGGAGTCACCAACCCTGCAGCGCTGGGACGGCACCGACGCAGGGGGCTGCACGGTGGACACTGGTGCCAACAAGGAATCTGTTGCCATCAGCCAGGCCAGCACCTCCTGGTCACAGTTGCTGGGCTTTTATGGGTCCCAATGGGCTCCCCCAAACCCTGCAGGTGAGGTTTTTCCCTCCAGACCCTTGAGCTGGGATGGCCACGGTTGGTGCCACACTCCGATGCTCTGCATCTTCAGTGCTCATCAGCATCCCTCAGTGCTCATCTGTACTCGATTTTCTCAGGGGCCTTTGTTCCAGCAAAGGAAACCCTCTGAAAGCAAAATGAGCATGGACAAAAGCCTGTTCCTCATGGCACCAAGGAAAAAGCCAGGCCCCTACAGGGACCCTCGGCCATGTGAGTCCCAGCCTCCCATGCAATGGGGACCCAAGCTGTTGGGTCATTCCTCAGCCTCTGAACCTCGTCCCACACTAATAAAGCTAAATTATCTTTTCTCCACTGTCATTTTGGCTTCCTTCTTTAAATGGACATAACAAACATGCACATGTCCCCAGGAAACCTGGTGCCCTCTCCCTGCAGCCAGGACCCCACATCCCCAGCAGCACCGGGCGCAGGTCCCCAGCTCGGTGCGAGCGCGGCGGTGTGGGGCTTTTGCCCATGACCCATCAGCTGCAGGACCGAGGGGTTTCACTGGCACCAAACATCTGATCCCCCTGTTGCTGTCCCTTGTGCGCCCTGTCCCCATTCCCTCCATCCAGGGAGGCAACGATGCTCCATGCCAGGAAAGGAGGAGCCCAGCGGCACCTCTCCACATTAGCTGCACTAAACCCTGTCGTAACAGATCCCCGCTGCTGCAGCCATGCCTGCAGGATCAGATTTTAAAAAGAACGGCTCTTGGGAGCAGAAACACCTTTTTCTGCCAATTAGACTGCATGGCAAACGACCCAGCACAGGCAGGCTGCACAACTCGGAGGAAACTATCACAGAGATGGCAGAAACAGAGGAGCCACGGAGAAATTTCTCACTGCTTTCCCTCCTCCCATTGCCTTTTAATGAGAAGGAAAGAGACGGAAATTATTCGGAGCTCTGGAGTGAACGTCTATCTGTATTAAACCCGCTGCCCCAAAGATAAAAGCGCTCCCGGCCCTGTGGTCGTGACTCATCGGGGCTCAGTGAAATGGCCTTGATTTATCTGGAGCTAAACTTTGCGGTGGAGCAACTGATAGCCGAAAACAACACCCGCAGCCGCCGTGCCCTGGGGGTACGAGCAGCCGACACCAGCTCCGGGGGCACGCGGCGGGAGGAGGTCAGGGCCACGGCAATTAGCTCCTCTGCCTTGCCAGTGTCGGTGCAGCTTTAGCTCAATCTCTCCCAGCCGCAATCAGTTCTGGCTGCTAATTACCGACCTACCCGCTGCAGCAGCGCCTCGCCGGCCCCAGCTTTTCAGCTTCCCGGCCGCAGGACGTGGTGTGGACAGCAGCTCTGAGCTGCTGCAAACCCCACCAGCGCAGCCAGCCCAGAGCTGGGTCTCCAGCCCTCGCCCCGTTACGCCTGGAGAAGGCTGGGGTGCTGCTAAAAGATACCTCGGGGCTGCCCAGGCCCCTCTCGTGGAGCTGCTGTGATGCTGTTTAAAGCGCGTGAGGATGGATGTGCACAAGACAACTTCATTTGATCCCTCTCTTCTTCTGTAATGAACACAGCCAGATTCACTGGGTGGTTTACAACGCTGTGGTTTCTGCATATTCTGGGGTTTTCATGTTTCCAGCGCTGCAGATCTTGGACCAGTAAACAGTGTTAATAATTGTTGTAATTATATCATTTTAAGTGCATTTTGTTTAAGGGCGGAGGCTCCCCGAGGCTCCAGCACAGAACCAGTCCGTGTCGGACAGGGCTGCCCCGGCTCGCTGCAAGGAGCCTGCCCACCCCGGGGGGGGGACACAGCACCCCAGGGGGCTGTACCCACCCCAGCACCACGCTCCTGTCCATGGGGACAGGCTGCTGTCACCTCTGGGAGCTGCTCTCCAACACCAGCGGCTCAACACGGCACAGGGAGAAGCTGCGAGGGCTTCGTGCGCAAGGCTATTTTTTTTTTCCCCTTTTGGAGCCCAAAAGACAGAGGCTGAGAGGTGTTCATTCTTCATAGGAATGAGCTGGCTTGGGGTGGGGAAGGGCTTAATGGCTTTGAGGTAAAAGAGGGTAGTTTTAGATTAGATAATTAGGAATTCTTTACAGTGAAGGTGGTGAGGAGCTGGCACAGGCTGCCCAGAGCTGTGGGGCAGCCCCCATCTCTGGCAGTGCCCGAGGCCAGGCTGGATGGGGTTTGGGCAGCCTGGGCTGGTGGGAGGGGTCCCTGCCCATGGCAGGGGGTTGGACCCAGGTGGGCTTTAAGGTCCCTTCCCACCCAAACCATTCTGTGATTCTATGACGAGAGCAAGGACTGGGTCCTTGCGGGGCTTTTGGTGGCATGGGGAACACCCCGATGAGGACGGCTTCGTGGTGTCTCAGCACCGGCTGCCTTCCCGACCCACAGCCCGGTTCAACTCGGGGTTATCCACTGAAGGAGCAGGCAAAAGCCAGCAGGATCCTGACAGCCAGCTACCAGGGCAAGCCCAACCCCATCTGGGCAACCTCACAGGGCAAACCCAACCCAGTCTGGGCAACCTCACCCCGAGCTGGGAGCTCGCACCAAGAGATCAGCCAGAAAACTGCCCGAGGACGCTGGTGTTCAGACTGCTTCGGAAGTCAGCACGGGGGAATTTTCTCTTTCGAGCACCCTCGGGCTGAGCACACGACGAGCCCACGCTCAGCCTGGGGGCTTGGTGCATGCGCCCTGCGGGTGAGCGCACGGCGTGGTCGCTGCCACTCGCTGCAGAACCCGCTGCAGCCCGCGGCCAGCACACAAGAGCCTTTTGGCTCCTGTGGCCACCAAGCAGAAACGCAGCTTCCAGCAGACAGGAGCTGCCGACGCATTTTCCACTCTTTTCGCCTGAGCATAAGCAATTTTTCAGGGCTGGGGAAATAGAGGATGGATCCAAAGCGGAGCACGAGTAGGGAAGCACTTCCAAACAGTGGGATTTCATAACCCACCAAGAGGCACGCTCAAACCTAGGACGAAATTCTGCGCTTGGCATCCTGGCACAGCAGCACAGCTCATGGGAACAGCCTGCACATCAGCCACCCGCATGAGGAGGATTTCCCAAACAGGGACCGCAGAAACTCCTCCGAGCTCCAGCCTTAACGGCAAAGGTGCTCCCCTGGATGTGCCAGGCAGTTTGCAAGCACTGCTGCTCATCCCGCTGCCCAAACATGAGGGTGCACAGAAGGTGCTTGCAGTGCAGGACGCAGCCCCAAGGCATTTAAATATCGTGCAGACCGTGGGTGGTGACCAGGTCGTGCCAAAACGGAGCAAAACCACTGCACAGCGGAGCACCCCCAGAGGCTGGGCAGGCTCCTGCAGCCTCTGCACCCCAGTACCTGTGGCTGGCCGCAGCCGGAGCTGGCACATGCCCCAGGCAGCATTTCTGCACCGCAGAAGCATCTGCGTGTCTGGAAAATGCACTTGCTTATTGAAACCTGGGTCCAAGGAAAGGCAACAAAACAGATCCAGGGCTTTGTTTGTTTCCTACAGATTCTCTCTTTTTTTTTTTTTTTTTTCCCACTTGGCAAACCCGCTGGGTTTTGTTTTGAATGGAGCCGAAATGAGCATGCCTCTTTTGTTTAGCAATAACAACTAACTTATATAGACCCCACTGCTGCCAGCACATTTTTGCGTGAGCTCCGGAAGCCCAGTGCTGTTAGCCCAGGGTCAGTCCAAGCAGTCGCTGCGCCGCACCCAGGCTCGGGCAGGGTGTCCCGAGCACCAGAGCCTTGCACCTCTGCAGGGGACTCACCGAGGGCGCAGGACAGCACCAGCCATGCCTCGCCGGGCAGGCTGCCCCCCAGCCCAGCAGATTTCTGTGTCTCTTGGGGAACGCTTGCACGGGGAGCTGAGCAGCTGCAGCACCTGGTGAGGACACCCTCGGACCTCCTGCAGCACACGCTCTGATTCCGGGAGAGATGGAGGCTTTAAGAAGCTGAGAAAGGTTTGGAGCTAACCGAGTAGATCACTTGCGGAGACCCCCCCCATACAACACACCATTTCTGCCATCCGAGCAGCACGTTTGCAGGAGGAAGGGAGCAGAGACATGCAAGCAAATTTTGCTGCAACACAATAAAGCTGCTTCTTTTTCTTTTTTTTTTTCCTGTTTTTAATTTATTTATTTTAATTAAGCATTCAGATCGGGGGTATTTAAATGAGCCCAGAAAGAGCCTGTGGCTCAACTCCCATTTAAGTAGGACCGAAATCAGCCTTTCGGTGCCTTGGCCATCCCCGAGAAGCCTTCCATCAGGGTCAGGACTGCTGCCACGTGAGCACTGCAGGCTGTGCCCGTACCCCTGTCACCTCCTGCACTGCTCCTTCCCCACCTGCACGCACACAGCACACGCAGCAGCCCCATGGCACCAGGATGCCTCTCAGTGCTCAGGATCCCCTCACACCCACAAAAATCTGCATTTCTGCTTCAGTGCAGCTGCATTTCCACGGGGATTGAGCCAAGTGGGTGCGTGCGCTGCAGACCGAGGGTGCTGCTCCCTGCAGGGGCTCAGGAGCTGCTGCCTGGGGCTTGGTGTCCCCCTGCCACCCACGCTGCCTGTCCCCCCGTGCAGACAGCCCCAGCGCCGTCCCCGTGGCACAGCACGGGCAGGCAGGTCTGCCCGCCACGGGGCTCGGTCCCTCCTGCCTCCCAGCGAGCGCAAATGCTCCTCGCTGCGCTCCGGCAACGCCGGCCTCTAATTGCTGCTTGACATTAAGCATCTGAGCAAGGAAGTCTTGGGTAAATGTTCTTGCTATGGGAACACG